GGCGGCGCCTGCGCAGCGCGCGGGAGGGCGGGAAGGGCCCTGAGGTAACGTGGGGAAACGTGAGGAAAAAAAAAACAAAAAAATCCCCTTTTTTTTGGTGTTCTGACGCGTTCGTACCTCCAATTAGCCGAAAGGGGGTCGCCCGCAGCACTACGCCGGCATCGCTACTGCTGCCATCAAGCAACACACAACAGGTATTGTTTTTTTTAAAAAAAAGGAAGAAAAGGTTTATTAATTCAGTTCTTATTTTTTACACGTGGCAGGTCGCACAAGACTATGCACACTATGACGGTCACTGCATGTACAATGAACATACACAGTTAAATAACAGAAGAAGGGGGAGGCAGGGACACCGGCTTTATCCCTGGCCCCTTTTCCCAGGAAAAGCCAGGATCCAGACCTTGCTCCAACCTTGAGGAGCAGGACCTGTTCAGGAGACAGATCTTTGGGTCGGCTGTTAAAAGAAAAAAAAAAAACCCACAAACAAAAAACTATCCTCTGCACTGCAGAAGTCTGACAAAAAATAATAATAATGTCCTTTTTTCCCTTCTGTAAAAGCAGGCCCTGCATTGCATGGTGCTTCCTTGCTATCCAAAAGGGCCTTTTCTGTTGCCCGTGGCTGCGAGGTGCTGCTAGCCGGTTATTCCCGCACGGATAGCCGGGGGATTGGATTCCCAGGGCGCAAGAGCTGCACTGGCATCGAGCTGGGGACACTCGTGCAAGGTTCAAGGCCCCGAGAGGCCGTTTCGACATGGTTTTCACCCAGAGCAAACGTTCTCAAGGCTGGGACGCTGTCCGGGAAAAATCCTTAAGGAGAAAGGCCTGGATCTCCACCCGTACAGAACAGGCAGGTTAATACCTCCAAAGCACTCCAACACCACATTTCTAGGTCTCCCGTTTGCTATTTGTACCGTGCTTTAGTGATACAATTAAATAATCCAGCAGTTTGGGGGAGAAAAACACCCTTTTCTGAATAAGAAATGGAGGAAAAGCCAAGGCGAGAGCCCCCCTCTGCTCTCCCACATGAACAACATTGATGCCCCAAGGTGATCAACAGGACTTGAGCTTAACCCATGCAAACTCCCAAATCTGTTCCATTTAAAAACAATCATCAAAATAGACCAGAGGGGAGCTCAGCTCCTCAGCGCCTTCTACAAACCTTGTTAGTGCCCCCCTTGTTAATGCCTCGATGCAGAAAGAGAACCAAAACCCCAGGCACAAATTGATCTACCTTTTGCCAAATCACCTCCGGGCTCCCTCAAGGCAGTTCCCAGCTGGCTGATAATTTAAATAGCATTTATCTCATCATGCACAGTCACTATTTCCACACCATAGTAACGGATATGTTATTTATCGAAAGCAAAAGGTGCTACAAGGCTTTGCCAGCAAGTACCAGGGCTTCTGCTTGTCCAGTCCGAGTGTTAAATTCTCACATTTAAGAGCTTCACCACCATAAGGCCTGATACCGTATCCTGTAAGCACTTCCATATGGAAATACATAAATCTTGGGAGTACTTAGGTGAAAGAATGGCAGATTCACCCTCAATACAGCACAGTGTCAAATCACCAAAAAAAAAAAAAAATCCTTTCCCTAGCTCTTATGTCTCAAAGACCATAAAGACAAAACTTTGCTTTTTTTTAAAATAAATGAATCCTAATACGCACCGATGTTCTGGGGTGAGTTTTCAAGCAGAGTGAATGGAGGGTTAGACACATACAGTATATTCCATAACAGTAAATGGAGCTGTAGTCATTCTTGCCAGTACCAAAATGCTTTAAATAACCAACCTACAAGACCCATGAAGAATTACATCAGAAAAGAGGGAATTACACTGCCTTAAAAGATAAAACTCATCTCCCCGTGTCTCCTGGTCCCTAAAGCATGAATTCTATACACAGACAGGTCTAGCAAAGCAGGCAACTCTTGTGGATGGCTTTCTACCTCCTGTAATAGTGGTCCACTAGCATTTTTCTTTTCCTGAGTCCAGGGCCGGTCATTTTACGAAACCGTCCAAAAGAATTAGAATGTGTTAACAGGGTACTTGGAAAAATCAGAGTAACCAGCTCTCCGTCCAGTCTTCAAGGAAAAATACATCCAATTTGGGGCGGCACCAGAGACGAGTACCCTGCGACTTGAGAGGCTTGCTCAGGAGTTGGTTTTAGACAGGTTCTCTTCAAACACTGCACCTTCAAGCAAGTCTCAAAGAGCAAGTGCACAGCACAGGTTTCAGTGCCTTTTGATTGCATAACCTCCAAATCAAAACAAAATCATCAGGATTATTCTC